GCAGATACAGATCTAAGGGATTTCAATATGTGCATAAGAAAGAGTACTGTATACATCAATTGGAACATTTATACACCCAATGCTAACACTTATCAGACACAACTCAGGACTCGTGTCCTGCCATGCATAGCAATGGCCCTCTACTGACAAGTCAGTGAGGCACTGGATACCGTGTAACAATCACTGAGCATTCCTCCCTCCAGATGGACAGCTAAGCGCATATCAAAAGATAATTTGAGTCTCGGACTCAGAAGAGATTTCATTCGAGTTGAACATAGAACACTACTCTAGTGCAAGGGTAGGCTACATCCCGCCAGATTGCTTCTTTTTAGCATCCCTCTCAAGCATCGCTATGGCTCGCATCCTATCCTCATCGATTGTGGTAAGGCAGGTCCAACGCTGTACCTCTGCTATGGCCTCCCCTAACCGTCGTAGGGTAGTAATGTCAATGCACATATCCTCATTACCACCTCCTTGTGTGACGTCGCTGTCTGAGAATCCTGGCCAATTGAGCTCATACATGAGACCACACTGTCTGGAACTGTTCCAAACACTGTGAGCGAATGGTCTACAGACTCAGTCATAAATCTGTAATGCCTCTCCCAGCGTCTCTCGTGTGCACTCGCGATCCGTTGATATGCACTGACACATAACAATCACCAAGGACCAAAAGAAATAAACCTAAACCCCGTGATATGGGTGAAGGCGGTCCGAGACAACTGAAGGGTATTTAATAGTTCGAGGGGGAAAGGAGGAGTAAGACGCCGTAGGGTAGTCCGTAGGAAGACCTAGAAAAATAAAACAAAACCTTGACGCCTGAAACAAACACTAAGGGACGCTCCGGAGTATTTATCTCCGGAAAGTCGCAGACAAAGTCGCAAACCACGAAATCGAGTGTAGGTTCGGGCCCACGGGAGTAGAAATTGCTAGAGAAACTTGCTTAATTTTATTTCGCTATGTGAGACTCACCGGAGCTAATTGAATCGATGGCGGAGATAATTCACTCGACGAGTCAGGCCTATTGGCAAAGCTAGGATCGGTTATAATTCGCTAGGTTCGATGCTTTCGAACTTCTCGGGTCGCTGAGATCGTAACACTAATTCTCTGAGATGGTGAAGTCGAAACTTGTTTTTCTGTACGCTACTTTGTACAATTTATACTACAGGAATGGCTTTGCGACCGTCCGGAGATAAATAACAAATAACCGCCGCTACCCACAGGATTGCTCAGCACTTGCCGCCGCTATACCATGCACCACACGACTCCCTTGCACTCCTACTTGCTCGTCCCAACCCCTAGAGGTCGCCTTGATGCTCTGCCACCTGATCCAAGCGGTCCCATCACTCCGTGTGACGCGCCGGTCAAGTGCTAATTACCTCCGGCCGCTTGCTGACTGATGCTGGCCTCATGGTGACTCGTATGCGTCCGCACCTTTGGTAGTTTGATGGAAACGAGAGGGAGTGAGTGTTGGAGGTTGGGCATGAGGACGACGCCCCTCGATAGAGGCGCCCGCGGGCCCCGGAGCTAATGCAGCTAGAAGTCGCATTGGTTAAGTCACTCCGGAGCTTCGGTGCGCGGAGATAAATCGCGGAATGGGTCCGAGTACGCCTCGAGGATGTTGGGAAGTCCGGAGCTAAATAGAAAAAGTCTTTTAGAGCCCATAGAAGCCTAGAGGCGTGTGAGCACTGTGTCGAATAAGCTCCGGAGGGCTTGTACGATGTGCTGAGTCCGCATTTTCGGGGGTCAGACGATCCTGAGGCTTATCACCGTGAGCAGAGAGGAAAGAATGTACGCGTCCTGTCAAGGTGAGCTTCGGATAGGATGAGGAGTTGAGGATTCCTCGCACCTCTATAGCTTGGCCTGCTCCACTGGCTTGATAGGGTGCCATTGCATGGGCCTGAAATTCATAGGTAAACCTCCAACGGCGCTGATGCGCCGTGACTCACCGCCTCACCCAGAAGTGCGACTCTACGATACTCGGAGACGTAAGAATCCAGAGGCCTTGTGACATGTATAGCCCACTTGGATGGACAATCTATGCACTATAACACCACTTTAAATATGTTATACTAGTAGCGCTCGAAGAAACATGCTTCCTTACATGCAGTAAATCCTGGACCTCCTTCTCAAAATCTGCCAATGCAGACAATAATTCCTCTTGATGAACCAGTGTCACCCACGGTTCTTGAAATTCGTGTCCTTCTCTTGCACATTGCGAGACAAATGCGATCACATTAATCAGTGTGTCCTGTGATATGGAGAACACCACGAGATGCTGGATGCAGATGAAAATCCACTTCAAGTTGCATGCAACGCTAAGAAGATTGGCAGTGAAATACCTTATTCTTCCCGCAGAACTATAACAAATAGGTGACTCAACAGTGATGACATGAACATGATCTGTACTTACTATCACTGGCGTAACATATACTTCTCTACACGGAGGTTGGGCGCGATGTTCTCAAGCACACTGACATGGATGAGTCCCCAATACGCGACAGTGCCAGTCCACATAGGCGGTGTCTGTTCCCTGAGATGAGACACCTTGACAGAATCATGTATGGTTTCTGCGGTGCGAATGGCGGTCCCGAACACCGATGCTCTAACAGCAGATTTTATACCATCCGCGCCGATCGCAATATCACACTTGGTTGTCGATCCATCCTCAAAGTGCAGCACAACAGGTTCATCTATATCCACAGCTTCGGTGAGCGCAACGAGTCGCTTTGAGAAATGGATAGGACATGAGCGGGAAATGTTTTCCAGGATAACTTTCTGGAAATCCGCTCGATGGAGAATCATCCCGGTCCCCAATGAGTATACGGGCAGGTACTGTATTATTAAGTTAGGTACCCCGACTGTAGACATTATAAAAGTCGATTCCTTCAGGCTGGTTTGATTTGCGAAGCCTAAATAACAGGAAGTCTGCACTAAATTATGAATGACAAGGTACCTCAGGGAAACATGATAAAGACGGGACCACACCATTGTCATCACTATGTATATCCGTGAAGCTGCTACCCACGTTAGACAGCGCAGCAAGGTCGACGTCAAGACCTAATGCCCGCATTATCTTCCAAATGTGGGGGAACATTCTGATGCCAGCACCAGCTGGGGATATCTGGGCAGCGGCTTCATAGACATTAACTTCAATATTGGGAGTCTTTGAGAGAGCAACTGCTAGTACGAGACCAGCTATGCCACCACCTCTTAGGAGCGGGAACAAAGTACCACTAATTAGCAATTCGGGACACAGCACTATAGCACCTTGAACATACACTATTGCCACCCGGAACTCACGGTCCATGGGTGAATGGGTAGAAGTGAAAGTGAGAGAGGCAATAGTTCACTTGGTTGTGCAGGTGCCAAATTAGTCGAGTCAGGTTCAATAAGTTGGAGATAAGTATGGGAAGAGGTGCTGCGTGTCCACTATCCGGTATATAAATGAAACTGCTCAGCATCAGATAGACAACATGAGAGAGTGATAATCCAGCAGGGACAGTATATACACCTGAAACTCAGCCTGCGATCTGCTGAACATTTGATTGGAATCTTGTCAAAAGTGTTTGAATGGAGGAGTAGTTGTGTGGCTGGTGGGTAGTATGGGGAGTGGGTAAGCTCCTATGTTTGATGGAGCAGTCCAAAAGGCTAGATATCGAAGGTGTATAGTCTGTTGAGTATAGGGAGTGTGGTCCAACACCTGGTAAAGGCAGGAGGGGCTGGCAACTATGGTCCATGGTTGACGAACCATGGATGAGTCGAGTAACGAACGGACCGTACGAAACAAGTAACGAAGGGTGATAGCTTGTAGTGGGGATAGAGGGCGATGGATAGTGATGGGTATGGACCTGCTATACGGACAGTAGAGGCAAAGGCAGAGCTGCTTCCACGAACAGAACCTAGTGGGGCATATCAAGGACAAATAAACCCCAGATATGGAAAGAGGCTGAAATGTAGATCCTGGAGGTATCCCATATCAATTGCTGCCATATTTGGCATGTGCTGATGTAATTTAGTGATGCCACATGTGTGCTGTCATCCACAGCAGGTTCCATGATTTTTCCCAGAGTTTTGCGCATTTTTCCTGATTTTATATCAGCTGCTAGTAGCTGTTGTGTGGTGCTCTAGACACATTCCCACACTATGTATAGGTCCGGCACCATTGGGCCTGGCCCCACAAATATAGTATGATGTTTCCGCATTTCTCCGTATTTTTCTGGGCCCTATAGGGCCAGGTATGGCCACCCACCTATTATTGGCAACAGCTCAGATCAAATCCCAATTTGGATCTCCATGCCAGAGATGCCGGGGCTGTTGTATTCAAGCCCAGCTGGGCTGCTGGTAGCTCTATAAGGTATTGGGGAGAATAATGCATAAACACCGCACATGTAGTGTTAGGAAGTGATGTCCTAACTAGTTGTCTTGAGATAACTGGGCCACGTGCCAACAGTTATGTCGTCACTACCTCAGTAAGCATACTGAAAGGTAGGTCTGGCCGGGCCAATGCCAATGGTCAGGTCAAGAGTCCAGGTAATCACTGTATTCAACAGGAGGTTGAACTAGGGAATACATGGGTTTTCCTACAGTATATATAGTAACTGGTATAGGGGTTAATACTCAAAGAAGAGAACAATAAGAAAGGACACACAAGCTATCCTGTGAGAACATAACTCAGAGAAATGAGAAATACAAGGGCACTCATTGGTGGAAGGTGAGTCAGGAGCGATAAGGTGTGAAAAGAGATAGCGTCCATGGGAGGTTCTACTCAGAGAAAGGTGCTGTCCAATAGCAATGCTCGGAATGGAAATAGAATGAGATAAGCATGGGAAAATCGTAACATGTAGCCTGTTTAATGTAATAGGGTACACGGTAGTATTGGGTGAATAATGTAATAATACTAAAGCAAGAGGTGCCTATGCTGTCCATTTGACGTTGCAACTCTACAACAGGTTTTCGAGGCAAGTGCACATAGTCTTTGCTTTTACCACCTCACACCATCGTGACCTTATTCAAGCGACCACTGCCGGTGATATGCACAGACACACAACCATCACCAAGGACCAAAAGAAATAAACCTAACACCAGCGGTATGGGTGGAGGCAGTCCGAGACAACTGAGGGGTATTTTAATAGTTCAAGGGGGAAGGAGGAGTAAGATGACATAGGGTAGTCCGTAGGAAGACCTAGAAAAATAAAACAAATTCTTTGATGCCTGAAACAAATGCTAGTTGATGCTCCGGAGTATTTATCTCCGAAAAGACGCAATCAAAGTCGCAAGCAATGAAGCCTGTCATAGGATCACACCCGCGGTGGTCAAAATTGCTAGAGAGACTTGGCTAATTTTATGTCGCTATGTAGGACTCACCGGAGCTAATTAAATCGACAGCGGAGATAAATCACTCGACGAGTCAGGCCTATTGGCAAAGCTAGGATCAGTTATAATTCGCTAAGTTCGACACTTTTGAACTTCGTGGGTCGCTGAGATCGTAACGCTAATTGTTCGCAGAGATAAATCGTGGAATGGGTCTGTGTATGCCTCGAGGATGCTAGGAAGTCCAGAGCTAAAATAGAGCAAGTCTTTAGAGCCCATAGAAGCCTAGAGGCATGTGAGCGCTGTGTCAATTAAGCTCCAGAGGGCTTGTACGATGTGCTGAGTCCGCGTCTACGGGGGTCAGACAATCCTGAGGCTTATCACGGGAGCACCTGGCATCGAATGGTTCTCGGCTTTCACTGCAGAACCAGACCATAACCTGGGTATGTACAAGGTTGTCCACTCAATTCACAAAGGGGAACACTTGGCAAGTATTATACCAGTTTCTCTGATTGAACGTAGTGTACATCTCTTGCCTAAGTTTGGTCCTGTTGTCCCTCGGGACTGAACAAGCAGCACCATCTTAGATTTGGTGGCAGCATTCTTTGTAAGCCCATTCCTAGACCGGCACACTTTCGCTACATTTGTCTAAACTACCCTGCATTCATGTACGTTGGTTTATCAACATAGGCCCTTCTTTGACTATGTGCTAAAATTGGACAGATCAATATAATGACATCCCACAGGTGCTTGGATTGACTACAGGGGGTGCAGGTTCGAAAATAAAGCTACATATGGACTCGAACACATGACCCCTGCAAGCAACCAGGACCGTGAAAACACCCGCTATACCACAACACACTCTCGCTCAAACTATAGCTAATCACAGACAATATGGAAAATCTGGAAAAGACTGATAAGCCCTGACAGAACCTGATGGATTGATCGGGCATTATAATGTCATGTTTCAAGGCTGATAAGCCCTTATCAGATGTTGTCAGGTTTAGATTAGGTAGGGGCTGCTGGTGGTGCTGTAATATCTGTAGTAGATCCTGTATGTTGGAAACATCTTGAAATACAGTTGTAGCCTTTACATGGATTGAGTGTCTTAAAGGTGGCATGTTGACTACTGTAGCATTATAGCCTAATTCTAAAGTTAAGGCAAACTCTACAGGAGCCATACGTCAGAGGACGTGAGCGTGAGCGACGGTATCTGAGTCCAGCTGCAGTCATTATGAGTCGCCTGGTAAGGCACTATGCATGATGTATATATGCCAATTTGAGACCCACACAGCTACTCGTGAAGCGCCGTCTGGCGCCGGCAACTTACCCCTCCTTTGTTCAGGAAAATGACCTTGAGAACTTGCACTAAGGTCAAGATGTTGTGGCTGCTACACGAGGCCGACAAATCATCATAAGGACAGTATTGCTACTAATGTAAGATAATGCTAGGGATATTGTTAGTAATATATATAGGGGACCCAAGTTTTCCCCGGTTCTCTTTCAGTCAAGCTCCATCTAGGGCCAGGTAGAATGTCCTGTGCTGTTGTAGTCCGAGAGATACTTGTCCCCTCTCCAAGAATACCTAATGGTGTGTATCTGTTGCATGGACATCTGGCATCCATCTCACATCATATTTTCACCTTACAGTCTGTTGGGCCTCATGATCATAAGCCATGGAATAACATGGAAATTCTTGATTCTACTTATTTGTGAATTGTCCATCACAGATTTATGTACGGCATGGAGACACAGAAAACTAGCATGATTGAATACACATGTTAGATGGAGTGCACATAGACTCAAATCCTTCTCAAGCCAACACCTAAGTTTTACCTCATAATAGGCCTTCACCTGTACCTTGTGGCATCCACAAACCAACACTAATTACATAGTTGAGAGGGACTTGAGTGTGAACATTGAGATGCATGCTCGACCATGGCCAAGTCCTTGTTCAATAGTGGCACCACTAGAGCCAAACATAGCACACCGGATTTTGCCGGTGTGACGAAAAGTGCGACGCAATTAAAGGGTGCCAGAACCCCTCCCAAAGGAGGGGCATTGTCACGTAGTGTAGTAGTTATATCATTAGTCTACATATATCATCGTTCAACTCAACGCCGCTCGTTCTAATCAAAGTCCAAGTACCTGTATTAGTGATGTCTCAGATAGTGGTGTCGATGACCATCAGGTGGCATGAGTGGCTCCTCCTTTTCTTATTTCTGAGACCCATGGCTTTATCTGGGCGTATAATGGCTTGTAACCCCCATCAGGCCTGATCAGCCTGACGGAGGCTTATACGCGCTTTTCGATCATTTCTGAACCTGATAACTCTCCTCGAACCTGATTGACTTATATAATTATCAGTGCATTATCTGGCATTGTATAGCAATATCAGGCTTTTCTGATTTTTCTGACATGCATAATTTTGCAAAATTATGCCGAGTCATCACCAGTTATCGGGCTAAGCTACATTTTGTCTGATCATGCATAATTTATATCTAATTAGCTATGGAGGGTTTTCCTGATGCTATCTCCATCTGGCACCAGGGTGAGCTTATCGTCTTGGATTGCCAACTTGGAGGGTTTATGAGTGGCAATAGGGCACAAAATGAGGACAATGTCGTCAGAGGCAATGCTGAATGCGTCGTTTGCAGCAGAGCGGGAGGAAGACATGGCATCAAGACAGCCTTCCATAGTGAAGTGCCAGAGCTCGACATATTCAAATGCATCCAGTTTGTGCAAAGCAAAGGCGGAGGGACGGGAACAAAGGAAGTCCAGCACTGCAGTGTTGGGATTGAAGGTGCGAGTGAACTCTTCTTGCGCAAACCACTGCCAGCGTTGCCCTCAGTGTTGACTCCATTACCAGCTGGGTTGAGTGGGAGACCAGTGCCATCTCCTCTGCCGTTTTGAGAGCGATCTTCTTGTAGCTGAGCCGCCCAAGCAGCTTTTGATGTATCGTGATCCAGGAGTCATCACTAGTGAACTCGGGGCAAATTTGCAGAGAGGGGTCGGAGGTGATTCTGTCAGACATTTTCTTTGAAGTGTTGGCCGGAAAGGCAGCTGTAGGATACAGTAGTGGGTGGAAAGGTAGTGTAGATTATTTGGGAGAGTTGGGTAGCCCAAAAGCTTTCATCGAGGCTCTTTCGAGGCTCTAGAGGCAAGTGGAAATGGTTATTGTCTCGAGAAAGGGCCACGTGCATGCCCACTTCTGCATTCGTACAAGTCTCAGTTCTCTGTATAAGGCTGTAAGGCCGCGTGAGCACGGCAGAGCTCACTACCGTAGACACAGAAATAAGAGCAACCTAAGGATCTGTGCTCTGCTCATGTCCAGGTATTTTGTCTTCCAAATGCCCAGGATGGTGGTAAGTAGAGTACTCTATTCATGACGAGTATCTCCTGACCGCGTTCATATTCTCTCTGAAGTCCTGTAATTGGTCTTAGTAATGTGATTGCCAATTTGCCTATGAGTTTCTGTGGCTTTAGGTTCTATGCAGTCCCAGCCCAGGCTTGCTTTCCCCTTGAGACGGCAATGGCACAGTGACTGAGTGTTTCCGCCACCTTGGTTGTAAAACGAAAATGCTCACATGCTCTTATTATCGGGGTCCAACGAAGACCCTGTCACTATTACAGTCATTTGCATAAGAAACTGAACATCACGTTTCCGTGCGCGTAGTTTGTCCGCGCAAAATATGCCCTTTTCGGGTATCAGCAAATGCGTGGCGAAGGGCTTACCGGAGGGCAGAGTGTTCCTCGAACCACTGTAGACATACTAGAATGACTGATTATACTAAGTACAGCTATATATTATACATTGCATGCAATATACGAAGCCCTTTGATGCCCCTCTGGACATCTACAAGTCCTTACCTAGCCACGAGAGGCCATCTGAAGTTACCCGAAAAGGGCATATTTGGCGCGGACAAACAACGCGCACGGAAACGTGATGTTCAGTTTCTTATGCAAACGACTGTAATATCAATTCAGGGAGAAGTCCCTATTGGTTCAAGTAAAATGCCGAAGGTGCCATTCACCATAAAAAGTAGCAGCCATGTGGCAACACATGCTCCCTCAGATCTTGAAACGACCGCAGGAAACCTGCGAACGGCCGGGGGGTCTAAGACCCACTACCTACGGCAGCGGGAATACGCTCATGCCTCACTACAACACAGAACCCCGATGTGGTCTGGTCCTGATCATGATATTGAGTATAGAGTTGCTGTCCAACTCCTGTTCAACTCCTGTACATGTTCCGGGCTGACTGAGGACCTCTGGCGCTCCACCCCCTATTGTTCACTGAGCCTCAACCCTAGACAATATCAGTGACCTGTCAAGCGGGAATAGAGCTATAAATGAATTTCATTTTATGCAGGAGACATTCAGAAGCAGGACGTGAACAGCCACTGTACGGATAGACACTAATCATTATGCCCCATGCATCAACCTGGGTTATAGAGGGGCTGCCCCCATAATTATGCAGAGAGAGGGACAATGTTAGATGACCATGTGCAAACTAACGAGAGGCCCTCTGGACAGCATAGTCCGCCAGCATGCCTATCCATATTATAAAGCCCAAGTGACCATTGGCCTGAGACACGAAATATTACTGTCAAATGCAAGTTGCACACAAAAGGATTTGCTTACTCGCAGAATGTCGCGCCAGACAGCCTTGTCATTGACGTTGATCTGGCGAGATTGCCAGAATAGATTTCCGGCCGTCCCCCCAACAGAAACTAGGAAAAACAACAGACCCTGGGAGTTTGCCAATCCTGCCAATACCAGGGAAGTAATGAACAGAATAGCGAAGCACGTTGAAATCTCAGTCACATGACTCCCGAAAAGTATAGCAGTGGATTTCACGCCAGCTTTGATGTCGTCTGCACGGTCGGCACATGCATATATAGTGTCATAATATACTGTCCAGCTGACATTGAGGTCAGTACCTGACAGGTTGATGGGATAGAAGGACTTTTAGGACTTGCCAGATGCCTCCTATAAACAGTATGGGTACAGTGAGCCAGTCCAGGCTACCGGTCAATGACAGCCAGGAGACAGGCAGTCCCCACGTCATGGCAATACCTGTGTAGCATCAGCAAATTGAGCTGTGTCCGGGAAAATGACTGACCCAGCCAAGCCTGGGGCCAGTATGTCACTCTCTTCATGAATGGATAGAGGAGGTCAAGGACAAGCAGGCCGAAGATTCCAAGTATTGAACTGAATTTGTCGAATGTGTTGAGCAGTAGGGATTGAGATTATATCTCAACATACGCAGGATAACCAGCAAACAACATGTTCATACAACAGAACAATTCCAGCGCAATAAACAGCACGGTGGCTCCGAAGATGGAGACTGACCCTGAGGCAATCGGGCGGACTTTACAACGCTCTGGCAAGGTGCAGAATGCCGCAGTACTCTTTAAGGTCTTGCACTTACCGACTTGTCGGTCGAAATCTTTATCGCATATATCATTCCAGATGCATGCTGCGCTATGTCGGACGGTGTTCCCTATGAAGAAGGCTGCTGTACTGGTCGCCAATGCTTGTGCGCCGACTCCCGCAGAGTATGCACTCATTGTCAGACCCCACGTTATGTGTTTTCGGTAAGACTTCAAGAGCACGAGTATTACTGAACTCACTGATAGGCCAGAACGTGAGTATAGTACCACCTGGAAACCGATGAAGTCTCGTCAATTCCCAGTATGCTCGCAGCATTAGGAGTCGCCGGGGAGGGGGAATCGTCATGACCTAGCCAGAGCCATCTTCGCTGTACTTTAGATTGCAGTTAGTGCGTGAGCTCTGAATCATCGTCTTTCACCGGTTGCAATCCGCTGCGAGACATCAGGAGATGAACCCGGCATATCAATCAAGTGCACCGGCGTGCTGACACACTATGCTACGAAAAGAAAGCAACAACACCAGTCCAGTCAATATCAGACTGAAATCAAGTGGCGTATACAGGGGGCATCTGATATCATGAAGCGATCATGCATTTGACTGTCGCGATCGGAATCCAGTCAGAATCTCTACGATCTGTTCGGTGGTTGACCTTTTCGGCCCGGTGTTTCCCGGACCTGGACGGCGTTTCCCCCGGTAGATGCTCAATACCCTCAAATTCTTTACACATCTTCGAGAGGGAGACCTGAATACAGGTAACGGTAGGGAATTCTCCGCCTATAACATCCTCTTGATAAGAGCATAAGTATGAGTCCCCTGCTTGTACATCTACTAGTACTACGCTACTACTCTACAGCGACATGGATGCTTTATCCGAACTAAGAGCACTCTCTGACCTGATCAAGAACTCCATCGAGACTGTAGAGACTGTCTGCAAGCGTAACGGGCAACCTTATCCGTCATCGCATGCGCCCTTCACGATGGCATCCGAGGCCATCCGCATCGATCCAGAGATTTCCCAGGCAGGGACGACTATCGTGGCAGCGGCCTCGCAACTAATCGTTGCAGTACGACCTCCTCCCTTGACTCTGGTTGCTACTGCCCTGCAGGTGAGCTAGGGTCTGGCGGTCCGGGACTGCTAGTGATGGTTTTATTGCAGTACCATGTGTCATCCAGCCTCGGCACTGTTCTACAATTGAATGTAGCAGAAATATTGCGATCTGCTGGTCCCCAAGTGTGTCGATATTCGTCGTTGATGCCACATTTTACTGATACCATGTCCATGACAATAGGGGCTCCATGTCGGGAAAATAGCTTCCCTGTGTAATACTGACCCCACGAAACTTGGTTGGTATCCATAGCAATGTCAACGTCTCATCTTCTATATTAATTCCTTCATTTGTAGCCCGGCTTCTCCGACTACTATGCACTACTCATATTTTCACAGAACTTGCTCCAGACGTGTTCACCCATAACCGCATTTCTTCCATGCTTGATACCGGAAAACCGCTGGAGACTATAACGGCTTCCCCCGATGCTAAGCACGACGGCACGCTAAGCGTCTCAGCTTTGCTTGAACATATGTTCGAATTTTCCCGCTTCTCTGCTCTCAGTCCGGACTAATGGTATGTCATCAGGACGGATGAAAGCCTGAAGTCATCTGCCTTCCTAGTAGAGGTCATGAAAGATCCGGAGACCGCCAAATCTGGGGAGCCTAACTGCACTCCCTTCAACCGAGCCTTTGGTACTGATTTGCCGGGGTTTGCCTGGTTCGAGAGGCCAGAGAACCGTGCAAAGCTGGTCCGATTTGGCATCGGTATGGAAGGAGCTCGGAATATGGCGAAGCCTGGTAATATATACGAAGGTAATCGCTCATAATTACTTATATGGTTTGAATTATTATGAGGCGATCAGGTTTCAAGTGGGAAGACCTTCCCCAGGGTGCCCTGGTTGTGGATGTGGGCGGAGGCATTGGGTCACAGTCGCTTGCTCTCGCCAAGAAATATGATCGCCTTCAGTTCTTGGTCCAGGACCGTGCTCCAGTCATTGCGGAAGCACACAAAGTAAGGATATGCATGATCGTGCCATGTGTTCGCTTCTCACTCCACCTAGTTCTGGCAAAGGGAGATGCCCTTGGCAATAGAATCCGGAAAAGTGAAATTACACGGTTTAGCGTGCACTTTATATTGACTCGATTGATCACTGACGGTAGTACATCCTTCGATTTGTAGGGCATGACTTCCTCAGCCCTCAGCCGGTCAAGGATGCGGCAGTTTTCTTGTTGCGAATGATTCTCCACGACAGTTCAGATGCATATTGTGTCAGAATTCTACAGCATCTCCGACAGGCTGCAAAAGCCAACACACAGCTGGTGGTTGTGGACAGTTGTCTATCTTATGCATGCGAGGACAGTACCATTGCTAGCACCGTACCAGGCAATGATATGCCGCGTCCCCCGAAACCTCTTCTAGCCAACGGTGGACAAGCGAATATCATCTCATATCTGTCAGATTTACAAGTAAATTGATGGATGTTCTGGTCAAAGTTGGTTTGCTGACCTTCCGAATAGATGCTTACTCTGCTCAATGGAAGTGAGCGTACGGTCGCCCAGTTTGCCGATTTGTTTGAACAGTCTGGCTGGAAACTAGCCAGAGTACATCATGGAGTAGGTTTTGCGGGTCTTAACTCAAAATTTATTGGTATTCCTGCATGAGAGGGGGGTATTATACCTGTCGACCGACTTGTAATATCAGTTGTGAAATTCTTGACTTTCGTCCATCATGCTCTATATGAAGGGAGCCGTGGGCATCTCGCGATGCGTTCAGCAAGCGCTATTTTGTGGGCATCGGACTGCCTGCCGTTGCCAATTCTTCCATTTCACATGGAGGCGGGCGGTCAGAGATAAACTCGCAGCAATACCGAACCATTACTTAATATTGCAGGGTGTAGTCCAAGACCCGGGCCATAATATTGAGATATAGTTCTAGGTCGATGGAGTCTTTTATATAGTTCTAGGTCGATGGAGTCTTCTGACACCAGTGTTTTTGTGGACTCGATGTCCTGGCTATTTTCATGTATTAACGGCTACAGCCTGAGCTTGCTCTCGAAATTCGAACCGCTTAACCCAGCTCAGACTGGACTCTATCTAAGCCCTTACCAGCCCCAGACGTCCCCTCTCCATTCTAACGCAGAAACCGTCCATAACTTCTGTGGTAAAATGGGTGCGTGCGTCATACATGACGTGAATGGCCTTTCGAGCGTTGACCTCTTGCAGCACATGTCGGACTTCGTCGTCCATTCCAGCCAGCTTCTCTATGGTGTTCTTGTCGAGGATCGGAGTCTCGGGAGACAGGAGGCTTGAAGGAATCCGCTTGGCTACTTCGCTGTACATTTTGGGGTCCGTAGGGGCGAATATGTTCCTACAGAAATCCATGGTAACTTGCACTTCATCTTCGGTCACAGCGGGATCCGCATCTGCGGCACCCTGGATGACTGGTTTTCCCATGAATAGCCCATTACACTGCCACAACTCCAGCTAAGACGTACCAGGTCTCAATGCGCTGAATGCCCGATCGAAATTATCCTCGTTGACGTCTGACATGACAGGAATTTCCTGCGCTTTGATCTGTTTATAGACGCCCAGAACCACCAGCAGGAACCTACGACCAGTATTAATGGTGTATATCGCAAAATAGGATATGCGAACCTGGTATATGACGAGCCCACTTTCCCGTTGTGGAATTTGATTGCTTCGAGCTCTGAACACTGTCCTCGTATAGACGCTGCAATGGAACTGGCGGCTGAAAGAGCCCCTGTAAATGCGAGGTGTACACCAGAGGAGAAGAAGGGATCAATAAACGCTGGTGGACAATTATCACTTTTCTTTGTTTTTGCGGAATGCAATGGATCACTTACCTCCTGCGTCTCCGATGATTCGAAAACCTGGACCAGCGTGGGTATCACAAAAGTAGCTGTAGTCACCCGCAGTTTTGATGTCACTTTTCAAGCGTGCATCACCCAGGATCTTCAGCAAACCAGGGGCCAGTTCCACTTGCTTCTCATAGAAGGCTGATGCTTCGAATTCCCCATGGCTTTCCTGCCATCGGGCCTTCTTGTCCTTGTATACCGTTTCTATTAACACAACACCAACTGAAACCGTACCATTGTGGAGAGGAATAAACCAGGCCCATCCAGATTCGTCTATTCAGAGTGTGTATGAGGTTGATAACCCGCTTGTGTCACTACATCACCTACCTGTCAAGGCTTCAAACCATGGGGCATTCTGTCTGTCGGTTCCAGGGGAGTAGCACAATGCACCACGCCAATAACCCCATACGGCGATATTGCGCAGACTTTTGTTGAACCTTCTATTCTTGAGGTATTTCGTCGACATTAACCCCGCTCGTCCAGAGCCGTCCACTAACCATTCAAATGTTATGCTGCCCCCAGTTTCGTCATCATCTTGCTTCCGCCAATCAACGCTAACCGGTCGATGTGGGTCATTTTCTTTGAATGTTATTTCGATAGCCGCGACACCCTCACAAACGCGAACCCCGCATTCCTGCGCATGTCGGAGCAGCAGTTCATCAAACTCTGATCGCACCTGTGGTAGTCGGTCAGGTTCAAGATCACCCACTTCGGTTAAATTCGTACCACGTTCCACGCGCCGTTGTCAGGATTAAGCGCAATGAAGTCCGTGTCTGTAAGGCAGAATGGACCCGGTTAGAACAATCAGATGTTGCATGTGGACGGTCATACATCCTTCACGTTTATGTTGATTTAACTTTACTGCGGCTCCTGGCTGGATGGTGATTTAGCCCCAGTGTGTTCGGTCTGTAAGTCTAATACCTTGACGGTGAACCCATACGCTCTGACTCTATCCTCGGCGTCGATGAATTTGAGATACGGACGACACGACGGCAGCATGCTCTCCCCTATGTGATATCTAGTGCACGGTTAGGGAACTATTTAATGACAGTAGCTAGTGATAATAAGTGGTGCACGTACCTAGGGAATATTTCCTTCTCCAGCAAGGTCACGTCGAAACCCTCTGCCAGACATTAATTGATTAAAAGGAGCAAACTCTGGGAACAGTACCTCTCGCTAGGGCCGTTGCAGCATAAGAGCCAGCAGGCCCTCCGCCAATGACTAGGATCGTCGTAGATGTCGGCTGATTGAATGGGTGACTCAGTCTATAATGGAGCGATACGAGTTCAGGCTCTGCTTACCACTGTTTGTTCTGGCTGCATAATATTGCGACTACGGCTAGTAACAGATACCGCAGAATCTCGTAGGAGATGCTTGGGTGGATGTGTCTCTAAGGTGTCTTCTACTTATTGAGAAGCCCTGGTAAATTATGTCTGCTAGTGCAAATTTGTGTCCATGATCAGGTTTCGTGTCTGACTAGTCGCTTAAGATCTAGGCATTCGATGATTTGGGGCCCGTGGTGTGGGAATCGAGGACAGTATTTTCAGCAACCTACTAGTAACGCGTCCCAGAAAACGAGGTCGGATATAATCTGATCTACCAAACCAAGCGCGGAAGCAGAGGCCCGGAGTCAAGGAGTTGTCCGTCAGTACGTCGGCGTTGTTTCACTTGAAGCAAATGATTTACTCATGGAGAGTTCAGAACTAACTGTAGAACGCCCGAGAAGCGGATCATTTGTCAACGGCTTCCACGGCCACGGCCAACTTGTAGGTCTCCAGCACATCACTCCCAATAATAGAAGACGCTCACCGATAAGCTTCATGAATCGGATATGCCGTGATATTTGTTTGACACAGGTGGACCCTCTGCCACACCATATGGTAAGGCGGTTTCCAGCTCCACCCGACCGGTAGATTTCTGGAAAGAATGTGGAGGCCAAGGACCCGCAGATTGTTCGAAAAAGTACCTGTATTGCGGATAGACATGAGTCCATCCTGTTACAACTCACTAAGAACGCCGAAGTGGTAGTACGAACACGTATACACATGATCTCATTCCATATGATGTCGTCCGCTCGAGTGTTAAGGACCGACCTGGAATCGTTGTCCGCCTGTATTTGCATTCCTGATACCTAAAGTATGTCTTTTCGACGTGTCTCGTGCTTCAGTCTTAGCCTTCAGAACTACACTGGTAGTTGCATTGCGTTCGTACCCCTGATTACGGAGGCGACAAGTTAATGCGAGTCTCGGATCCAACGGCAGGTACATGACACAAGCAGATTGGTACCTAGTTCAGGGAATCCCAGAGGCGAGACAACTACTAGATGATGGCACTCGGACTAAATATTTGCGTGATAATAATATGCTGCCTGGGTCGACGCACCGTAAATGCAAGATGAGGTGAGATGAAGTCTATCGCGATATCGGGTAAGCCATAAGCCATCAGCACAAAACCTAACCCGAGAACCGCCGGCATGCCACCGAGTAGTACTGCAATTTGGCAAACCGCAGTGCAATCCTGCGGTTACGCTCTCGTACAGTACAGTCGAAACTGCTTTCATGGGCCGCTTACCGCGGCTGCACTCAAGTTCGTGAGCATGTACTACTAGTACCAGCACTAAATATAACTTCAGTTGCGATCTGACCCCTGTTCTCATTAACATTCCAGAACGGGTACGTTGGGGAGACCGTTCAGACTCCCCGCTTCGAAGACGGACGCGCAACCAAACTTCCGAGACGATATACTGCTCTTACGGACGACGGCCGGAGTTACGCTGATGTCGGTGACGGGCCAGCCTGTCTCTTATGGACTCACTGAGAAAGCGATCTACTAATTATAGCAGTGACATATCAGAAGGCTAGAAAAGAACGTGGGGCGGAATAATAGACGACGTCCCATTGTTGGTATTATCGAGCGCCTGCATAGTAGCGACGTGAACAAACTGCAGCAGTCGTTATCAAGGGAGGGACAGGTACCGTGGGCACAACCAATCGTCGAACGCTTCTGTCCACCTGCCGGGATGTGTGATACACCACAGCTGACGGAGCTCCAAGCACTTCAGGCCACCCTCAACTGCGCCCTGAATGTCGTCAACGAGGAGATACAGGAGTGCCGGTTTCCTCCTCTCAGGAATTTAGATTTGCAGCCCCACCCCCTCGATGATTCCAATCTGATCACCAGTCCCAGACTGTATGAAGCAAGGCGACTTGCGATAGGTAATTGTACTCTTTCTATCGCGCATTGGAAAGCGTGCTCAAGTCTCGATTTTTCTGCCTCTATGTCACAAGCCGCCATGGTCAGGTTCGACCCATCACTTACGAAACTCAGCTTACCGTTGACGAACAGGGACAAATCAAGAATCTTTTACAAAATCCATTTGAAAAAGTCCGCGAACATTGTTTCGCGGTGTATGATTCTGCATGCCTCGACATATTCGTAAAGACGGGAATTCTGGATTTCCTCGCTGAATTGCCGGATCGTCGTCTCGGAGCCGACCTGCAGCAGCTGCACGAGGCGCTGGACCTGGATTCCGTCAAACTCGCGGTTATTCTCCGATACCTTTCCACACAAGGATGGCTCAATGAGCGTGAAGAAGGCATTTTTTGTCTCACAAGGTCGTCACTGGAGCTGTGCAGAGGTCGTGGTGGAAGGGCTCTGGTAATGTAAGTAATCTCGTCCATTAGTATATATCATGCGCTGACAACCGTGCGTCTTGTTATGCTATCCAGGACACCTGGACGCGCGGATATTGCAAGCAAAACACTGCAAATGATAACACACCCTGAGTGGAGATATTCTACTGCGGCGAATCACACTGCCTTCCAGCTGGCGAACGACACCAGCCTACCCTTTTTTTCATACCTGGAGCAGAAGCCAGAGCTTCTGGACCTTTGGGGCGCATCTATCAAGGTAGCAATAGTGTTCTACCTATATCTAAGCTGACCTTCTGTCAAGGCCTTCGGAGAAGTCTGTAGGCAAACCACGTTAACTGATTATCCCTGGGAATCCTTGGGAACGTGTACGTTCGTGGATTGCGGGGGAGGGCATGGCGACCTTTGCATCGATTTGTCTAAATTGTGAGTCGTCGTCTTTTCTCGGGACCGAGACGATAGTTAATGAGGCTGTAGGTTGCCAGGATGTAGGTTCGTTATACAAGAGCGCCCTGAGATGGTGCCAATGGCTTTGGCCAACCTGTCTACCCAAGCCCCAGAGGCTACACAGCACGGGAGGATCACAGTTGAATCTCATGATTTTTTTACTCCACAGATAAGGAGAGGTGACAGTATTGTCTATCTACTGCGCCACATTCTGTAAGTCGTTGTCATTCTGCGCCGCTGGAGGCTAATCGATGGTTGGATCGTTTCAGGCACAACTGGTCCGACGACAGCAGTGTACGGATTCTTTGTCGTTCAAGGCGGGTAACCGCTTACTAGGCAGTAGATCACCATTCTCAAACTCCTCGCGGAAGCCGCAGGGTCGGATGTGCGTCACGGTCTACGATTACCCCATATTTATCTGTCTAATACGGCTTTATCTGTGTTCTATTCACAGACGAAGGTCCTTATCATCGACATGGTCATTTACCCTTGTATAATTCGGGAAGCTGAGGGGAACACACGGGGACCCATTGTGGACTTGGACGAGCTTCGTCATGGTGAGCACTACCAAAGGGTGACACCACCCGCGTTCATTCCCGCAAATATGGGCTCGAGTGCAAAAGTAGCCATGGCTATATGCACTCACATGATGAGTACATACAATTCCTACGAAAGGTCTGAGGTGAGCATACCGCCATTGATCGACCTGGGATTTTGACTTACTTCGCACCGCAGTCTCAGTGGCGGAACCTTCTTGAGAGAGCTGGGCTCGCGATAACACGGATTTCACCGCTTCGCGCCAACGAATCGATCATTGAATGTGAACCAGTACGAGTATCCATTCGTTGCCCGTAACATCAGAGCAGCTGTCGGAGTTGTGGCGGTCACGAGTAGCATGTGGATGGAACATATAATGGTGTACCGAACTAATCCCATGCATCCTTTAGCGTACTAAATACAACGTCTACTCGGTGTTATACCCCTGGAGCGTATTCGGATTAGCTATACCAGAGTTTGCGAAGTTACAAGTTGGAAATACATAGATATGTTGTGGCAGCTGGCGCCGTATCAGGGGTCCTTGTACCCGAAGTATTCCTAGAACGGACCAGGAAGATTTCCACTTTGGGCATGAACGCTCGCTTGCTCGCGCACAAATCCCGGCGGACCCTGCTCAAGAGCTTCAGGCCCTCTGCTATGACACTCCCCAGCGTGCTGCGTTGTACACCATCGTCCATCACTTTCTCCGGGGACGGCGACCCTGTCGTCTCATCTCCCGAGACCACTAGTGCACTGGAAGCTGCTTCTCGTGTGCTGCACGATCGCCGGCCAGTAGTCTTCCCGACGGAGACTGTCTATGGTCTCGGTGCGCTAGCTTTGAACTCCCGTGCGGTCTCGCAGATTTTTAGTACGAAGGGACGGCCCCCCGATAATCCCCTCATCGTGCATGTGTCGTCTCGGGCAATGCTCAGCAGTGTCCTTCCCAAAGGATACCAAATATCGAGACTTAATGAACTGCTCATCGGACGATTCTGGCCGGGGCCTTTGACTCTGCTATTTCCCTGTGATCCAACCATTGTACCATCTATCGTCACGGCTGGCCAACCAACAGTAGCGATTCGGATGCCTTCACATGTTGTAGCTCGGGCTCTGATCGCTGGAACGGGCGCGCCCTTAGCTGCACCCAGCGCTAACTCTTCGGGAAAACCGAGTCCCACACGAGCAGAACATGTTCTGCAGGACCTGGGCGAGAAGGTTGATCTGATACTTGACGGAGGGCCTTGCGATGTTGGTGTAGAAAGTACAGTGGTGGATGCATTGCATGAAGACGGTAATGTCCGTATCCTACGTCCAGGAGGGGTGACTGTGGAAGATATCGAGGCCTTGGTATCCAAGATGTATCCTCACAACGAGAATAAACCTCAAGTTTTAGTACACCGACGAGATTACCAGGATGAAGCAATTGAGCACGCTCCGACTACTCCGGGTATGAAGTATCGACACTACTCTCCCTCAGTCCCGGTCACGCTCTTGTATACCACCACCGATCCCCCGCCAGATCAACAGTCTATCGCCGCCTCTGATTTCCTCTCCTCTCTCCTCGACTCCTCGCGACCAATCGTCATCCCGCGCGTAGGCCTTTTGGCCTCCGATGAATCACCTCTGGTTCGGATCGCAGAGTCTTCATATGGAATACAGTGGGTTTATCGATCTTTGGGACCCGCCGATAATCCAGCTATCGCCGCTCAGCGTTTGTTTGACGGGCTGCTTTCCCTTGAGAAAGATGGCGTGACTCAAATACTAGTAGAAGAAGTCAAGGAAGTTAAGGAAGGGCTGGCTTTCATGAATCGGATTCGGAAGGCTGCGGGAGCATCCGTATGGATACGAATTGTGTAGTCGTGCAATTCTTTACGTTCCTCAAGCTCGCAGTTGACAATATTTTTCACGAAAGACATGAACAATTCAGATTGTATACATGCGCTTGGGATGTTGGAGCAGAGAGGTGGGGACAGTTCATAAGTTATATATCGGCGCCGCCACCGGTTTAAGGAGCGTATCTATGCGTGTTTAGCCAGTGCGAAGGTACGACAAATGCATTCAATGAGTCGTTCTCGTCCATATATCGTTCCGCTGATAGTGTTGCCGCTGGCAGTACGACCCGGGTGAATCTGATCACCCGAATGTTGCCAGCTGGCCCTTCACTGCTTTGACTTGCCGTTTCGACTCCGTCTGGTGAAGTACGTCAGTGTTGCCTCCGCCTTATGTGACTCTGCGCTGAACTTTGATCAGACACACATACGACAAAGTCCCCAGTACCGCGGGCAAAACCAGGATGTGATTTGCCTAGGCACAGTGATGATGTCTACCTAATGACCATGACAACCTCAGGGACAGAACATCCGGCGATTGATGAGATTATTTGAGGAGTTTATGTTGTTAGTAGCTCCTATTCCTGAGGTCTACAAGCCGCTCTACCTTCATTGGCCCTTCTTATAACCGGGTGATGATCAGCCTCAGCCTGTTTCAACGCCAAAGTCCGAATGTCCCTCTAGATAGTGGCACCTTCCAAGAGCAAGAGCATTATCGCGAGTTCCATTATGCAACCCTGTTGCAGCCCGCTATTGGGGCGTACGGAGTAGATCTACTCCGCCTCTGGTAAGTTCTATGTTATGCTAATACAGCATTATTAATAAGATCTCTGTATTCAACACAAGGGTCAATATCGCACTGATGTATGCATCAGTGTAACATGATCAGAAATTTGAGATTCTGGGGTGGTGGACACGGTCGTAGCAGAGGTGTCATAGCCTGCAACGTCACCATCCATCAACAGAATAAGGCTGCGCTATTGGAGAGAGGGGCCTGATTGGGCCCATTCAACATTGCATCCACCATAGGGTCGCGTTCTCCTTTCTCCCGAGTATACGTGCGTGCATGCGCACTTGACGGGATTCGTCACTCGTAGATCATCGCTATCATTCCTCGTGTGCGCCGCAGACATGCTCACCGGCCTTTCCAGTAATAAATAACATTCGAGCACATTCCCCGCTTCAATACTTCTTTCCTCGTCGTGACATGATCATTCAGTACTCAAGTGTAACAGCTGAGTGCAACTCCAACCCGGCGCGAAATACTACTACTCGCCTGCGAAAGAGCACGGCGAGCTCATAATTCTGTAATATCCCATATTGTACACTTAATTCTCGCTCGGCGGTTTCTGAGCGCAGAAAACACAAAGATTAATAGTGCTACCTTCAGTTTCATCCCATTCCCTAGCCAATCCATCCATCATAGAATCGAATTCTTCCTCCGATGAAATAAATCCTAAGCCTCCCGCTTTTAGTACTGGGGTCTTCATGCCTCGGAAGACGTTCAAGAAACTCTCCCGAGTCTCGATGCCCTCATCTCCAGCCCAAGCGCCAACCGGCAGATGCAGTTCCCGCACTTCGACGCTTTCAAAGCCGGCCTCCCAAAGAAGATCAGGCATATGGGTTGCGCAGTCCAAGAGCAGCCCTCTGGCTGAGAAAAGGGCTTTGTTTAAAGCCCTCTGCCGCATGGTCACGGGCTTGTTGTCGGCACCTTGTTCCTCCTTCGCTTCGAGAAGCTGGACCCATCCGCCAGGTGCGAGGACTCGATGGATCTCACGGAGGACCTGGGGCCATTCCTTCGCCTGAAGGCCCGCAATGAGAAGTCGCTGATGCACGAATGTGAAGGCATCTTGCCAACCGTCGGGAAGTCGCAAAGCCGTTTCTACGGAAAAGTTGACGTTTTCCGGTTTACTGGACGGAAACAGACGGGATTCTATGTCGATTCCTTGCAGACCAACTTCAGGGGGGACCGCTTTTGCGATATCTAATAACCAAATCCCTGAACGACTGTGAATATTTCAAACGCAATTGAGTGTGAAGAGTCGTATACCTGATCCTGTTCCACAATCCAAGATTTTATCGCCCTTCTTTATAGAGAGGGGGACTATGAAGAGTCTGTTGCCCAACGCACGACAGATAACGCGGTGCTGAAGCTCAAGTCTGGAAGCGGTTTCTTCTGAGTTGTCCACCAAAGGAGAGAAAATCCAGCGTAGCTAACCTACTGCGTTCCTCATCATCTGACGGCAGAATATATTGCGCACCCGGGAAGGAGTGGAATGCTCTCGGTTTGTGTTCAATGACTTGTGGTAAGGCGGAAGCAGTGCTTGGTTTATCGGCGAGCATTACGATATCGTATGCGATGAACGCAAGTCTGGCTGCGTCCCGCCCGACGTGAGCGTAATTCGCAAGGAGGTCTTTTGCGGTAAAGGGATAACCACAGGAGGATGTCCGAATCACCTGAGTCAGGAGCTATATCGAGAAGTGATGTTCCCATTATGAGAATCCCGCGGATCGTTCAATTCAAGAACAGCCATTCCAAGGTTAGCGCGCAAGTTGTACGTCGGGGGTGAGGAAACTGCGTCGGTATTTTTGGCTCTCCCGCTTCGACATTCCACATGCCGGCGATGCTAACGTAGTGGAGATATGCATATGGGTCCCATCCCGGAACCAAAGAGGATTACGAAATTTGTGGCCGAGCTCTGAGACATACTTACTAGCTCTGAACGAATCGAGATTCCGATGGCCATCCAGCCCTTAAGCTTAAGCCTCAAGGAAGGAATGGCATCGTAGACCTTTGATTCGTACAGGCAGAGGAGTATCGGAGGGTGCAGCTCCAAGGCCAGCTGCAGCCTGCAGGGCATGTCAGTGTCCGACAGGTGCTATATCGTCCGCGTCGGCCCTGCACTCAGCTACTGTTGATCAGACAAGGTGCAACCGGCTGGGATAGTATAGAGACTGTTTGCGAGGAAGGTACTCGCGATCGTACCCTGTCTAAGCACATGTACACAGCAATAGACAACGATGGCTCAGTACTGGGGCCCGTGCTCGGTACGTCCCTGGCCGCAGTGAACGTTGTTCCGTTAATATGATATTCGGGCGATTTGAGCGTCTGAGTGCGATTCGTCGGAACATCCCTCGCGTTCCAGTGCATATCCATTGGTCATGGATATGCTGCCTTCTCAGATATCGTACATATCTTCACTTCTGCTTCGAATCCGAAGATTCATGGAAAGTCATTGGAAACACAACTCTCATCTAACGTTCATTCTGACGGGAGCAGTCCGCCGAACAGGAGCACCGCAGTTTATCTTTCCCTCACCCGGGCCCACGACACGGGTGGGAACAAGCTCCATCCTTCCGGATTGTTTCTGGGGCATGGATTCATTCCACACTAGCCCGCCCTAGGCTTGATACTGCGCCTCCTAATGCTATTTTTCTCGTCGCTTTTCCGTATTACACTGCCAGATTCTGCCGCTCCGAGGTTATCAGTCTTTTACAATTGTCTGCGGTAACTGTAATCTCTCCCGTGATGTTCACCCGTCTCTGTTTCATGAATATGATCTTGCTGAGAGTATATTGATTGATGACATATGACATTCTACCGGAGACTAGTATCACATTGATTGCCTATAATCAGAGACGGTGGGACGTGAACTCGAAGCTTGGTCATGTACTTCCTAGCCTAGCCATGGTGGCTGCAAAACAATGGTGAGATCGACAAGCAGTCCTCAGGACCTCGCTTACGGGATGTCGCTCCATCTCATCTCTCTCAATAATCGCCGCATCGAACTCATGAGCGTGGATGTGTATGGGGCAACTCTTGCATTGGTGCATTTTAGAGGACTTGGCTGATTGTGTCCATGGTCAGTCCATAGAATACCAGGGATGTCCCGTATACACAAGATTTGCAGCAACTACCCTCACTATCAATACCAACAAATATCATGCCTATGAGATAGTCAGCTAATGCTGTCACAGAACGAGCATATCACGTACGGTCACCTGGCGCACAAAAGACGTCATGGCCTCAACGGTTCCTTCATAGTCGTCATAGAATATGGCGTGCCCAGCCCCCTCTAGAAACTTCACCTGCAGGTTTTTGAAGTGGGGTTTCATCTCCCTCACCAAGGCCTGCCCATCCACCTGTCTATCGGCAGTCCCGCTCAGTATCAACATAGGGACGCCTTGCGACCCCGCCTTGAATAGCGCAGCAGGATCCTGAGGTCGAGAGCATACGAAGTGCGCGTCCTTGGGCCCCTGGAAGATGGAGGAACCAATCCATTCACATCTGGTTTTGAACGGTACTTTCTCCGGCTGCGCGAACACAGAGTCGCCGAATTCAATGGAGATACGCCGGTTGAGAATAACGTCATCGGTGGTGAAGAGGCCGGGCATGAATCCCAGTATAGCAGGTAGGCCAACAACACCCATAATGGGGCCCACGTAGGGCAGAGCGCATGCGTAGATAATACCGGACACGGGAAGTGGTTCCACGTATTGACAGTAGTCCGCGGCAACCGTTCCTTCAAAAAGAAAAGATTAGTGACAACAGCTTTTGACACACGTTCATACTGCATACGCACCCCCGTAGCTCCTATTATATCCCCATTAGCCATGTTCGCCACAAGCGTTGCAGGAAGAAACCACTCACCAGCCGAAGTGGACGGGGTTCTTCAATCCAAAAGCATTGACAACAGCCATAAAATCATCTGCCCATAGGGAAGAGGCATGGCCTTCGATTGTTTCAGGTTTGCCGCTTCGACCATGACCACGCAGATCGTACCGAACCTGCAAGACGATTACACGCTAAGGCCCGCAATCACGTTACACCACGTACAAGATAAAACTGCTGCAAAAGGCGGGAATCTTCAAAGAATGCATCGAAACAAGCTGCAGTTAAGGTAAGACCGTGCACGAACACGATACTGGGGCCACTGCTGTTGCCGGCAGCCTCGGCGTAGATCTTCAGACCGTCGGAAGAAGTTAGTACTCTTTGCTCGACTTCGAGTCCAGGTGCCATGGTCGAGGAAGTTAGGCAGTGATCCAGGGCAACGCCAGCCGTTATATGGGGTCACCCCTCTTGATCCCATCATGTAGTGCGCTGGACTCCAAGTGATACTGGATGTGTGGGGAGACGTAACCTGATAAGATAACGGCGCTCACGAGTAAGCCCAAGATCTATGAATAGTTCGCTTCTTCGTGAATAGACGTCTGTCCCGCAGGAAAGATGCCAACCCGGATAGCACGGACCTCTGATCATGATCATCATCGCGTTCCACACTCACCTCTCACGACTCGGGGGCAGGTACAAGTACACCGGTCAAAGATCGGTGGCACCAACTGATGGAAATCTGCGGATGGAATTCCGCGGAAGAGTCTGTGCAAGCCTAAGAAGTCTTTGATACCGCAGCTGTAGATGGCTCCAAGATGCATTACGGACGGGAGACATGAAGGGCGTCGAACGCGAAGGTGCAAACTCAAAAAAGGGATCGTAAGCTGCAGCTTTGACCGCGAAACAACCAGATGTCCAGCCAAATACAAAGTAAGTAGGCGCGACGCCACACATATTTAGTGAGAGGAAACTTGATGTACTACTTAAGTAGTCAGGACCGTCTGAATGATCCTTGTAAGTTGTATTTATTTGCATTATCGAGAATTTACTGCTGTGCTGAATACCAATTCCATACATAATCTCTGTCCATGGCGGACTCGGACAAATCATCATGCATCAAGTGATTCAAGTCTCAGTAACAGTCTAATTCGCTTCACCATCTATGGGTGGCGAGCTACGTCTTGTATGACCGGAAGATAGGATCAGCGAGTGGCAAAGAGTAGCTGCCTTTCCGACTTGGTAAATGTCCGCAAGGTATTATGATCTCCAGAGTCCGGGGCCGTCGATCAGCTGCAGGCTATCGCTAGCGATCGTGGAAACGTAATCCGTAATATCCAATATCAGGATGGATATCAAGGGTGATTACAACTACAGCATGTTGCAAATCAATGGGCCTCCCCACAAAAAGAGTGAAACAGGATTATTGGTGTACCGCCTGATGGCGATCCACATTTGTCGCCCAGGTTTGCGATGCGTTGCTGGGAGTTTTGAATTTTGAGTGATCTCACTCGATTAGGCCTCATTCTGTCCCGAGTTGGCCCACCATCAGCTCGGCCCACGAATCATTCTATCCTATCTTTTTCGTGGGGAGGCCCATCGATTTGCAACTTGCCGTAACGGGCGCTCCGTGCGAAGCATAGAGACCTTGAGGGTCTGGTGTGTAGGCGACTGCTGGCAGAGGAATAACCCGTTGACATCGCGAGACTCTCTTCGGTGACTCGACTTCGCCCGAGCCTGGGTGAGGAGCCCGAATGGCTGGATTCTCGGCTCGCGCAGCTACTGCATTGACATTTGAGCAGGCTACGTGGTACTCAGGCCGGAAGGTTGCATATGGGTGGTAGGTAAGTTCACCACATTGGTATTCAGCCGCAGGTTACATTCGGACTTGTCAATAGATTATAGGCCCTCTAAGGACAGTATAGAAGCCATCACTAGTCTTGCGGGGATCGGCCGACGACCCGCGGCCTCGACGGCGGGTTTTGTACCCGAAGCCACTGAGGGTATGGGGTATGCGGGTATAGTTTGTCCAGCACCCAGCACCGGTGGACACCTGGGTGAGCTGGTCATATTTTGGGTTTTGTGACCATGTTACGGAATATGAATGAGATGCGCTGCTAACAGTTGCAGTGCAACCGATGCACCCCATTTTATGCTGCTGCGCATAGTCCAATCGGAACTGCCAGATGCAGCAGGAGTAAAGCACGCCGGAGCCGCAACCCACTGACATCTTGCGTAACAATGGGCTTCCTAAGCATATATCATTAATTGTCGTTGTTTGGTTTTGGGGCTCCCTGCAACCAGGAATTTTTCGTGGTTCTATCATTATGCAGTCAGTTGAAACGATATGTGGTGCGTTTCTTTATGGAGGGAGGTATTTTCTGACCCAAGTCACACTATCATCAGTACCTCCTGACGGCTTTCCATGTCCCTCTCCAAGCATCAGAGTGTATCAATCTCCGAAAATGATGCTCCTCTCCGTATCTCCTCCCAGTATATAGCTCCAGGTATACGACCGCTCGTGCCTCTTCCGGTGGCTAGAAACTCTCATTAGCATGCTTAGCGTTGAAGCAGAGTTCACTGAGCTCAGGTGTAAGTCGACATCGAATAGCCCGTGATTTTCAGTCACCCCTTGTTGATTGCCTCTGTGTAGTGCTTACGTGGACGCTTCCTATATTCGCCATTGCAGTAACCCTCTTCCGACTGTGGGTGCGGGCCCGCAAGCGACAGCTTGGATGGGATGATTTTTGGGCAATGGCAGCTGTAATATGCTTTGTTATCTTCATCTCAGCGATGGAGCTTCATTTCCGAGACGAGCGTAGGTTACTTCAGCTAATACTAATCCACAAGTGCTTATGTCGGCCTTCAGGTTCTTATTCATATACGACGAGGATCGCGTTGTATTACATGTGAGGGACGTGCCGCTTATTTTGAGTATACATCTTTACCCCGATACCTAGGCTGGACCAATTCTTCTACGCAGTTAATTGGTGAGTATGAGGGGTCAGATTCTGCATTCCGCTTCGATGACACTGGAATATCCTTAGGTGCTCTAAACTGTCGATATTGTTCACTACTATCCGCTTGACTGCTCCGGGGACATTCAGACGATGGCTCATTCGTTCAGCCTTTTGTTTTGGCTGTGCCTGGGCCGTCCTATTTTCTCAGGTGTTTTGGGTCTGCGAGAATCAACCTGGATGGAAGGATACCCCGCAACCGCAATGCGACCTTGGACGCAATGTGGCCATCGCTCAAGTTATCAGTAGGACATTGTTCTTTTGTTCTGTAGCATACGATAACTGATATCCTCCCATCGTCCTTTTGCAGCCGATGTCGCGACTGACGCAGTATTAATAGGCGCACCATTGAAGTTGATTTGGAAGGTCAAGCTGACGAGAACACAGAAGATTCGCATTTTTGCGGTGTTCAGCACCACTACAATCGCCACAGCCGTAAGCCTATACCATTCCTACGCCATCCTGCGGTACGGCGGGTTCGAGGAAGCGCGTGCCGCTGTTATACAGGTTTGTCTAGGCCACCTCCAAATGAGATTGGCTAATTCACAGTTCATGGCAGGATGGTGTCAGCCTAATCGTGGCAGATCTCAGTGTCATTGTCGCGTTCTTCATGCAGATCAGTTCTGTGGATGATTCCAGCGCACCGGTGGCCGTCGAATTAGTGAACGTCAGGAAGTCAGGTGGCGCCGCGGAAGCCCTCACAGTTAATGTTGATACCAGCACGACCGTATTCCACGACTATCAGTACAATAACTCGGACTTGGTCAAGGTCCCTCTCGGTGTCAATTCCGATGTGAAGACACGCTCATTGCAACCTGAAGAATATGAGGAGGGCTCCGGTATGCGGGTGGGAGAAGTGTAATCCAGCGTAGTCACTCGCTTGCACTCAACGTTTCCACAATCCTCTGCATTCACATGTTGTTTGTCTGTACTAGAGATATGCAGGATGTTGGTTGTGGTGGTTCATGATGGTGCATGTGCTCGCAAGCAATATCCCGAAGGTCCCACTTGTTGGTCTCCATGGGATCAAAGAAAAGCGATAATTTCTAGTACAAGTACTGTTGGACAATTACCCATCATCTACTCACTATGGTACCCAACTAATAAAGTTTGTATATGATCAGTGTGGACGGATGGTGCATTTCAACTGGCACGTCTTACGGATCATCTCTCCCAAGCGGGGCGGAATCCGCGAATGATGGCAGCTGTAACTGCGGCGGCGCTTCGAAGAGGGCCATCATGTTGAACATCAGAACATTGGCAAAACCATATGGACCTGAGAGTTTATGCAGCACCTTGAACACGGCCGGACGACTACAAAATCGCATCAGCCACTCTACATCAATCACTTATAGTCGGCACTGAGACAGCCACGTCGAGCCGGTAATATTTAGGTACACACTAGCCATCACGTTGACCACAGTTTGAGGAGGCGGGCTGTCACCGTCAGCGCTCGAATGCGTCATGACGGGCCAAACATGCATTCTCTGAGTCCTTACGATCAAGCACCGAGAGCTTCTGATAAAGCTGTCAGGAAGGATGCGGAAGTTCTGATGGACTTCAGGTGCACGCTCTCGGGCGCTGTCAGGTAGGTGCTGCTGTGAATTTGCGTTAGACTCGGAGATTAGGAAACAGTGATGACAGCTAACGACGAAACGATAGAGCCTCGCAGAAATCCTGGGATGGAGTCCGGAATCGGATGACAGAGAAGACACCAAATAGTGTAGGAGGACGCCACGCTTGGACCACGGATGATGGGGGTGGACTGGGAGACCGGTCCGCGCTATCATATTCGTGTTGACAGGGACCTTCCATGTCACCGAGACTCCATCCTGAAAATTCGGAGGAGTCTCTATTGTTTTGTTGTTAACTGGAAAGTTGGTCACAATAATGGGAGTTGATCAAATACTCCCTAATGGCATCCAAGTAACAACGCACGACTGTCGGAGATTGATGTCCAAAAGCCCGGAGCATAGCGTTACTGGATACATAAATTTGTCCCGAGGCTCTTCCTGTGTGATAACATGAGACATTTCGTGGCGGGGGAAGGAAACTATCATCCACTGTGAAGGAGCTTGCGATTGTGTAAGATAAGCTCTTAGAGAAGGTCAATTGGCTGTGACAAATGGTATGCATTCATGGTATGAGTAATGTACAAGCCGTCGTGTAGCCGTCGTATGCGACCACGGTTGTGCTCCGCGGGCGGTACCTCTTCGTGCTGTGGGCCAGAACGGAAATCGGGCGCCCGGTGCCCTCCGGTACCACAAAGATGGAAGTATGTCGCCCTCCCGGAGCCACAAGATTGGGAAATAGGCAAGACGTCCGACTTGACCGCACCTAAAAGAACCATGGCCAGTGACACGAGTCTGTTGGCTTAGCTCGGCCATCGCCTCTTTCTCATTGCGTTTGGCACGATCGCCGACGGGACGCGGACCACACATTGAGCAACCTTTTACCTGGACAGTACTGGTGGGTTCAATCGTGTAGACCATGAATGGGGCGACTCTTGAACGACTTTAGATCTGATTGGGGCGGGCCTGGGAGTTGAGTAGAAGACGCTGATGTGATTGGCCGCCTGTGAGCCGGCCACCAATCACATATCCGCTTATCAAGCCTGTCGCCTTCGTGGCGCTGTGACGTATGGCGCTGTCATTGAGCACTCAGCTGTGTCCGTACCCCAACTCGGCGAACTATGATTTTAAAAATAATTGAGAATCCCGCATGTGTCCTTACGCTGGGATCCCCGGCGACAGTACGAATCCGATCGAACTATCCACAAGGCAGACTCTAAAGTAGGGTTCCGTAAATTTGGGCCGCGAAAATTACACATGTTAATTAGCAGTTGTAAATCAGCTTTATAGCTGGTAATCCTTGTAGTGAGCACACTGTCCGATGGAACTCGTACAGCGTCACTGTAGAGCGTATGAGTTCTCACCCGTTACGCTGGTGTCCGGGAACGGGTTGGGCTCACCCTCTGAAATCGCTGCAGTTGAGTGCCGCTGTGTCAAGTCCAAAGCTTAGTGTGAGAAAATAGGTCCGAACTAAGGTGCGGTGTAAAAGTCGCTCATTATTTACACTGTTATAAACTGCTGTTAATAACAGGTTAATAACATGTTATTAACAGACCCCTCTAGGCAAGGCCAATTTGGGTGTTAAAAACCCCCCCTATCGGCAGCCTGGAATCCACCATGCACCGGTAGAGGACCGTACCCGTAAGTCAAATATCACTGGGACATCATGTTGCAAAGACCCCCTAATGTACTTCAGCTTGCAAAGTGCACGTCAAACAGCTCCCGGAGAGTGCAGTGGAGGCCTACCAGGCATTTTAAACTGCAAAAGTGTTTTTAACAATGTTGATATGTCTTTTTAACATGTAATTAACCCGTTTCAAACTAAATGTTATTAACT